GAATATGGAAGATTTGCTGCTGAATGAAGCAAGTCAGGCTATGAAAGAGAGACATTGTATGTCTCCACTTAACATATACAGACTGTCTGCACACTATGGTAGAGACTGAAAGACTGGAGGACATACAAGCATTAAAAATTGTCATGGACACTAGAGACACTAGTGGAAAAAGTGTGGGAGGAAAGAGCGTAGGAAAGGAAATTTGGAGAAAAAAATAGAGTTAAGACCATTGTGGGACACAGATATGGTTTATTTGTTGATGAGGACATGTATAGTATTCTCAACTGGGCTGGAAAGAGGTGTATATCATGCTGGGTAAAGTCTCTTTACAATCTAAATGATGTATGGTGATTAAATGTATAAATAATAATCAAAATAAATTTAAAAAGAATAAAAATAAATAAATAACAATAAGAGTACCTACCTCGTGGACACTATTTGTGAGGACAAAACAAGTCAATAAATGTAAATGTTCACAATAGTGCCTAAGCATATTAAGTACTCAGTAAGTTACTGCTGATGTTGTGTTTCAATGCTTTTAATCTATTAAGGGGTCAACAGATAATTATCGAATTGAATTTTTCCTCCTTTCTTTATACACTATAGATCCTCTTGTCCTCTGACCATATCCCAAGATCCTCACCTCCGCAATAACTCACAGGGGCCCCTGGGCCCAAGGGTCGCGACTCAAACGCAATGCCCTTATGATGAAGACGGTGCTAACGATGATGCCCACCAGGCCCAGCACCAGGCCCAGGGCACAGACCACAGTCTCCGTCGTCTCAGGTACAGGACCAGCTCCTGGGCCTCTGGGGGAAGAAAGAAGAGATGGGGTCAGAACGTGCAGAGAGGGTTGGGGCAGGCCTGGGATAAGTGTGGTGGTTGAAGGTTATGGACTATTTGAGTACAAGGTAAAAACAAGGAAGGGGAAACCAGCAGATGGCATAATGGTTACTTCTCTGAACTCCCATGTAGTCAGTCAACTGTTTTGCATCCTGGACCCGGCAGCTTAAAACTCACGCCAGGCGCATATGTGTGCCTGCCCAAAATCCCCAGAGGAGAATGAAAGAGAAGGGATTGCAGTGTGACCATCCCCACTGAGGAGTGATTTCTTGCTTTCTGTCTCTCTGTCTCTCTAGCAAGTGCATGTGCCCTAAAGCAAAAAAAAAAATTTAATTTTTAAAGAAGAAGAAGTGAAACAAGAGGACCAAGAAACTGGTGCAGAAAACATCAGGCCCTGAGAGTAGAGGGTGCCAGCGAGAGTGGGAAAGCAAACGAGGCTCCGTACCCCAATGCATGAGGAGTGGCTCTGGGAGAAGACAGGATCTGGTGAGTCCCCTGTTCTTGGACAAATCACAGAAGCTCCTCCTTTGGGGCCCCATCTACCTCGGGCTCAGACATTCCACTGATCAACCTCTCCTAGCTCAACCTCTCTTTTGGGTGAGAAGGGATGATACAACCCCTCAGCTGTCCTGGAATAAGCCCAAGGGCACCAGAGGAAGAGGACAGCTCTACAGTGGGCGTTTGACTCTCCTACACTGTGTGAGAGGAAGGGCCCTCCCATCCCTTCCCAGCTGGACAAGAGAAGAAGCAAAGATGGGCAGTACCGTTGGAGGCCTGGGTGTGGTTGGAACGCTGCATCAGGGTATTCAGGTTTGCCTTTGCTACAGCAACGCGCTGCACCCCGTCTTGAGCCTCATAGGAAAAGGCGTGGCCAAACTCCTCCATATGCCAGATTGTCTCCTTCTTGTCCAGGTCCACATAAAACACCTCATCCCCATCAAACTGGAACATACACTCCCCTGAAGGTCTATGAGATTGTGCAAATACTAAATAAATTGACATATGGTCCGCTATATAAAGAAAGTACAGAAAAACATGACAAAATGTTAAGTATGAATATGTAAGCATATAAGTGGCCAGAGAATGTTGAGAGAGAGAGAGAGAGAGAGAGAGGAAAGAAACCAAAGAGGAAGAAAGCCCTACAGATACAGCTGAGATAATTAGTAATATCCATCAAGGATCCAAAATATATTCATACCCATATCAAGATATGTTCACTATGATGTTTATTATTATTATTTTTTAACAACACAAATCCATTTTTATTCATTTACTTTTCATTATTTTCAATCCTTGAGGGTACAGCATCACACAGATTCTGTGTCCAATGGGTTTAGCAAGAAAGTTGCTTCAGAATTTGGCTCAAACCATGCCACTGTTCCCATGGACACAAGTAACTTTT